GCCATGCCTCTATCCTTGCTGGAACCTTACCTCCTATACCATGAGCTGCCACTTTTCTTAAGAGTCTCTTGTGAGGTACTCTATCGAAGGCTTTACTAAAATCCAAATTAACATTCATATTCTTTATCACTGTCTGCTGCCTCAAATGTTTTATTGAAGAAGGTCAGTAAATTTGTCAGGTAGGAACAACCTCTGATAATATCAGCTATAATTGATTCTAATAATTTGCCTACTATAGACATCAGGTTTACTGGACAGTAATTTGAAGGAATGGATTTATCCCCTGATTTGAGTATAGGAGCTGCATTAGCTATCTTCCACATCTCTGGCACAACACCAGTTAGGATGGATGCATTAAACACATTAATGGCTGACTAAGTTCCATCTTGCATTCTCCAAGTACCCTGGAAAACAACTCATTGAGTCCCGGGGACTTATTTTGCTTCAGTTCATCTATCTGTTTGATAACCATGTCCCTCGTGACAGTAATATTAGTTAATTTAAATTCTCCAGGAACTGAATATGTAATTGTTAATTTCTGGAATCTCATTTATGTCTTACTGTGTAAAGACTTAAAAAAAATAGTCATTAAATAAAGAACACATTTCCAGTTCGTTATCCATCAGCTGTCCATTCCCAATTTTCAGAGGTCCTACTTTTTCCCTCACCTTCATCCTATACACTTGAGAGAACCCTTTTGGATTAGTCTTTGATTCATTAGCAACTCTGATTTCATAGTCATGTTTAGCCTTTCTAATCCCCTTTATTACTTCTCTTTTAAACTGAACATATTGGTCAGTCCTAGGTAGTAGGTTGGTAGACAGCAACCACCCAGGGAGGTCCTACTGTCCTGCCAAGTGAGTGTAAAACGAAAGCCTGTAATTGTTTTACATGATGGTAGGATTGCTGGTGTCCTTTTTTCTGTCTCATGAACATGCAAGATTTCAGCTATGTCTTGCTACTTCTACTTACACTTAGGTCACACTACACATACATGCACAAGCACATATATAAACACTCCTTTGGGTTTTCTTCTATTTTCTTTCTAGTTCTTATTCTTGTTTATTTCCTCTTATCTCCATGGGGAAGTGGAACAGAATTCTTCCTCTGTAAGCCATGCGTGTTGTAAGAGGCGACTAAAATGCTGGGAGCAAGGGGCTAGTAACCTCTTCTCCTGTACATACTGTATTACTAAATGTAAAAGGAGAAACTTTCGTTTTTCCTTTTGGGCCACCCCGCCTCGTGGGATACGGCCGGTGTGTTGAAAGAAGAGAGAAAGGATTGCTGGTGTCTGTGGAAAATATTTAATTTTCAGAAGCTATAGTGCCTAATAGGTGTTTAATGTGTTGATGTGGGTCAAAAATGTATTTGAAAATGGACTAGAACCAATAGGGAAGCTCTGCGGCTGCGCTGATGGGCAGGGGAGAGGTAGAGACGGGGCATCAGTAGCGGGAGTGTTTTGAATGGAGTTAAGAGGCTGGGAAAGCATGGGACCAGGAAATTGGCATTCACGATGGCCTAAGAATTAATATAGGCCTCACTTCATAATAGGAAGTGTCGTAACTGTTCCTGGTGAAGAGTGAGGGAACGTGATTTACAGGACCACCGTAATAGTGGTAAAATTAGTGAATAATGGTAGGACCAGTGGTGACTGGTATGACGCCATGGAGTGTCCAGGGGAAAATACCCATGATTTAATCATCACACATCAGTCTCAGATCTTAATGGAGTGACCTCTAATGTGCATAATTATGAGACATTAAATCGTCTTGTGAATTGAAATGTAATCAGTGATAATAACACTAAGTTAAGAGAATGCGTGATGTGAAATAAGTCGCCTTGCTCTGAGTGAACACGAGTAGACCTCGTGGTTCCTGTCCCGAGGATAGTGAAGTTTTTATGGAGTCACGACTTCTAAACCGGGACAAACCAATGGATACCTCGTCCTGCTGGAATAAGAACCGTGTCGGTGTAGCAGGACATCGAAATGAGATGGTGAATGGAGGAAATAAGGAGCATCAATCACCCACAGTTAAGTAACCCTTCTAGTTATAGCAGACTGATACTGGGCAGTTAGGTATGTTGTAATTGGATAGGTTGTGGGTGATCCAGCTACATCAAGTGACCACCAGAGAATATCTGGTAAGTGGTGGTATTATATACAAGTGTTTTTCCTTGATGGATATATCCATGTGTAACCTCCCCCCCCCCTTCATTCAGTTAAACTAATATAATCTATATGGTCCACAATTAATTAGTAGCGCCGTACTTGCGGGTGCTATCCAATTCATACTGGTCTCGGATAGATATGGGTAAGATTGTGAGGTCGAAGGAACCACCTGCAGTGACCAGGGATGGCTAAGTTTTCTCACATGTCTACACGGGGTGACTACGGTAAACAATATGGTGGTTGTCTCCCAATGAGATTACTTGTATGAATGTAATGTTGAGGTACATACTGGTAACCCCTATAAAATTTTCCATATCTGCCCGCTGACATCTGTTCCGGAAATTTGCAGCTAGGAGATCCTGTCCAAGATTGATGATCTCAGATAATGCCACCAATTTTGTAACGGGTGCTCAACACTTGATGGAATTAAATAAGAGTAATGATGTACAATCTTTGTTGACCCAGCGAGGGTGTGTCTGGAAATTTATTACTCTCAGAGCCCCTTGGCAGGGAGGATTGTACGAAAAAATGATAGGTACAGTGGAAAGATGTCTTTGTAAGGTGCTACACAGGAAGAGAATTAATTTGGAGGAATTCTGTGCAGTGTTGGTGGAGGCGGAGAATCGGGTAAACAATCACCCTCTGTCATACATGAGCGACACTCCTGACATGGAGATCCTGACTCCCTCTCACCTAATATGTGGACGAAGGTTAGAAGCTGCACCTATCTATAGAGACAATTCCGAGGGAAGTGATGAGGATTACAATAACGTGACCATGTTGAGTGATAAGTTCAAGATGTTAAATAAGGTAATTACTCATTGGTCCGATGTGTGGCGTAAAGAATGTCTTCTTACAGTACGTGAACACTTTTATGGTGCACCAGATGCAGTAAACCGACAGAACATTCAACCAGGTGACATTGTGTTAATTGATACCGAGCAACATCGAACATTGCGGCCTCTGGGCAAGGTAGTTACATTATACCCAGATGCACAAGGTGTTGTCAGAAACGTCAAAGTGTTGTGTCGTGGTCAGGAAAGTTTGCGTACCATTAATAAATTAATTCCCTTAGAATTAAATGGTGTTCAATCCAGTGCAGATGGAAATCTTAGGGAAAGTGACATGAGTGATATTGAAGACACTGACCGAGTGATGCAAGAAGAAATTGTAGTAAGACCCACTAGGAAAACAGCCGCGTAATCTAGAGCGGGCTGGAATCGTCTCCTAGAGGAAGACACAATTTAAGTCGTCTAACAACGACCTCCGCCCAGCTGCAGTGTGGAAAATATTTAATTTTTGGAAGCTTTTGTGCCTAATAGGTGTTTAATGTGTTGATGTGGGTCAAAAATGTATTTAAAAATGGACTAGAACCAACAGGGAAGCTCTGCGCCTGCGCTGATGGGCAGGGGAGAGGTAGAGATGGGGCATCAGTAGCGGGAGTGTTTTGAATGGAGTTAAGAGGCTGGGAAAGCGTGGGACCAGGAAATTGGCATTCACGACGGCCTAAGAATTAATATAGGTCTCACTTTATAATAGGAAGTGTCGTAACTGTTCCTGGTGAAGAGTGAGGGAATGTGATTTACAGGACCACCGTAATAAAGTGGTAAAATTAGTGAATAATGGTAGGACCGGTGGTGACTGGTATGACGCCATGGAGTGTCCAGGGGAAAATACCCGTAATTTAATCATCACTCATCGGTCTCGGATCTTAATGGAGTGACCTCTAATGTGCATAATAATTATGAGACATTAAATCATCTTGTGAATTGTAATGTAATCAGTGATAATAACACTAAGTTAAGAGAATGCATGAAGTGAAATAAGTCGCCTTGCTCCGAGTGAACACGAGTAGACCTCGTGGTTCCTGTCCCGAGGATAGTGAAGTTTTTATGGAGTCACGACTTCTAAACTGGGACAAACCAACGGATAACATGTCCTGCTGGAATAAGAACTGTGTCGGTGTAGCAGGACATCAAAATGAGATGGTGAATGGAGGAAATAAGGAGCATCAATCACCCACAGTTAAGTAACCCTTCTAGTTATAGCAACTGATACTGGCCAGTTAGGTATGTTGTAATTGGATAGGTTGTGGGTGATCTAGCTTCATCAAGTGACCACCAGAGAATATCTGGTAAGTGGTGGTATTATATACAAATGTTTTTTCCTTGATGAATATATCCATGTGTAACCTACCCCCCCCCCCCCCACCCCTTCATTCAGTTAAACTAATATAATCTATACAGTCCACAATTAATTAGTAGTGCCCTACTTGCGGGTGCTATCTAATTCATACTGGTCTCGGATACATATGGGTAAGATTGTGAGGTTGAAGGAGCCACCTGCGGTGACCAGGGGTGGCTAAGTTTTCTCACATGTCTACACGGGGTGACTACGGTAAACAATATGGTTGTTGTCTCCCAATGAGATTACTTGTATGAATGTAAAGTTGAGGTACATACAGGTAACCCCTTATAAATTTTCTGTAACAAACTTAAACCAGAGCTTAGGCTCCACAGTGTGACGTACATGCACACACAAATAAATAATTATATTGTATCATAAAACTTATTGTTACATAAGGAACAGTATATGGTATATTATGAACATATTACATTTGCCCCTTTTTTCTCGTGAAAAAGGACTTCATTTGCATTCTTAAAAAAAAATGTTCATGCACTACTGAATTGAAATATCATGACATTAGTCACATATTACACAAAATACTAAGTGACTCTTTTGGTTTTACATAAATGCACTTAACAAGGATCAGTATATAAATTGTGTGTAATGTATAGTATTGTATATTACCTCCTCTCTTTTTCCACAGGATGATGATGATGAAGGGTTTGAGAAGTGCTATGAACAGTGTTTACGGTGCAGTAATGGTTTTTTGGATGCTGTGAAATAGCTTTTATCTAGTTGCAAGACTTCTCATTGTTTTAGGGCTCAATATACAGTGGAACCTCTACTTGCGACTTTAATCCGTTCCATGAGCTTGCTCGCAACTGGATTTGCTCATTTGCAGAGTCAGATTTCCTCATTTAAATTAATTGAAATGCAATTAATCCGTTCCAGCGGAATTCTGTACTTCAATAATTTCGCTAATATCAACTCTGTGGCTTATTTATCTATCTCGCTTCATCTAAAATGACATAATAAACAACATAAATAACAAAGAAACATAATATATACTCTAAAATGAATAAAATATATCATTCATGTAGTGGTATGGGCGGTGTCGGCAGTGGACGAGAGTTTGTCTGGGGACTGGGCAAAATACTTCATGAATAATTTCGCTGATATCATCTATACGGCTTGTTTATATATCACAGTTCATCTAATATGACATAACAAAACAAATAAATAAAGTAGAAACATGATATATACCCTGGAATGAATAAAATACTGTATGTCTTTATGTAACAGGTGGTGGCAGCCACAACCGCTCCCTTAGTTGTGGTAAACACTGCCATCTAGTGATGGCTTTTTGAAGCTGTCTCTTATTATAATTATTATATATACGTAGTACATTATTATTATATATGTATTATTATTATTATACATATATTATTATTATTGTATTATATTATTATACTATTATTATTATACGTATTATTATTATACATATTATTATTATTATTATTATTATTGTTATTATTATTATTATTATTATTATTATTATATGAATAATTTGTAATTTTCATTCACACAAAAAATATAAGACTTACTGTTATTTCTTATTGCAATAATTGTATAACGTCGACCCATTCACGACTGCATATTGGAATGGACTGTGACGTACGTCATTTGTTTACTCTGAAACAGCCAAGCAATAGACCATTTCTCCTAGGTTGAGCTCTATTTCAAGGTACTTTTCATCGTGAAAGCAATTAAAATCATATCTATTTCTGTAATATATCTTCCATTCTATCAAATGAGACCAAAAAATGAGAATACAACCATAAAAACCATTTGAAATTACTGCTTAGGGGTGGCTAATTGCTGAGAAGTGAACTCCATTATTTATGCTTAGAGTTCTTTCATTTTTGGTGTATGTTAAGAAGCATCTTTCCATCATACATTGCCCAAGTTTCAATAAGATAGTCCAACAAACAAATGAGATACAATTCCCGAGACCAAGAGCAAGAGTCCCTCACCAGTGTCAAGGAACCTGCCTTGAGGTCTGCTCGCTTGTGGAAATTTTGCTCACTTATGGAAACAAAAAATCGACCCATCGACTGCTCGTATTTGGAAAAACTCACACGTGGACACGCTCGCAAGTAGAGGTTCCACTGTATTATCTTTATTGTAATATTATGAAAATACTTCATCTCTTAAATTAATAACTTACTTTTACTTGTTTAACCCTCTAACTGTCCAAACGTGGATCTACATTTGCTCGCGAAGCACTCCGAATGTAGGTCTACATTTTTTTTACGTTCTTTCTTATGAAGAAAATCAAGGTCGGAGCGCTATGCGCGCAAACATAGATCTACGTTTGGACAGTTTAAAGGTTAATAGTATTGTAAATTTTAGTCATTTCAGAGGTCCTTCTGTTTAAAAATTTAAATGGGAATAAATGAGGACTGTTTTAGATGTCTAGTTTATTATGGTGGCAGCTATGTGTACTGTACATAATACTTTATTAAATAAAATATTTGGCTTATAACCTGTGTTTTCATCATGTATTTTCATGATACAAATAATTATACTGGGTGATAGTGACACCAAATGGTTAGACCAGAATCCAAATACAGTACATTACAGTATACTTCATTATGGGGATTTGGCTTGGCTATGACATAATGCAGGTAACTTAGTACTGTAATGTGTTTCTTATTATTATTATGGGGTAGCACTAAACCCATAGGGATTATACAGTGCCTGTGGGAAGGGAGGGGGGGAATGGAAGGCATTCAGGCTCAATTCAGGAAACTGAAGCACAGATCCAATTCACTAGATCAAGAGCCCCTCACCAGCATCAAGGAGCCTCCCTTGAGGGAAATGTGTTCCTTAACCCAATCTTAGTGACATCTGTAATCTTAGCTGATTCTTTCTTACATATTTTCTCGAGTTCTCTCCCAGGCATTATATACTGTTTGCAGGCATTCTCAACAGGCATCTGCAAACCTCCACAGCATTCCTGTCCTGGTAATCTTGAGTGCAATGATTCTCAGCTCTTGAGCTTCTTTGAAAGGGTTTAATTATAGATTCTATATACCACTGAGGGAGACGAGCAGCAGCATCACTGCCTTTTAAGAATTTTGAGGTACATCTACAAGGCCTCTCTAATAGGTTAATGTGCAAGAACCTATGGTCATATGACATGGAGGCCAGACCTCTCTTGAATCACATAATGACTAAAATAAATCTAGGTTGTGCAGCATTTATATTTTTAAATAGCTTAAGTCAAAGTGCTTTTCATATCTCTCCAATCTCTCTCAAGATGTTAAGTCATTTGCTCCTGACAGCATATATTGTAAAAAATTCTGTTGGGATGTACGTAACTGCCTGGCAAGGGTTGCTAATTTTTTTGCTCTTCAAAAATTTCCATGTGATAACTTAAGAATGCCTTTTCTGAGCTGTTATTATTATTATAATTATTTTATTTTATTTGGGAGAGACCACTAAACATGCAGGGGTCATACAGCACCTGAGAAATGGGAAGCAACTGGGTTTCAACTGAAGATAAGTCCAATTCCTTAACAACATCAAGGAACCTTCCTCGAGAGGACCACTTTCAGTGCTGGTGTATCCACACACAGGAAGATTTGGATTGGTATTGAATGGTGTACTGTACGTATTTGCCAATTTTATCAAAATATATTTGTGGGGTGATTCAAGACTGCCTCTTCTGAGTAGTTTCAATCTTTAAATCCCGATTCATTTAACCCAACGAAACATTCACTTTAATTTTAGGCTGTGTAAGTGCAAATTTGAAAATTAAGATTGGGATTATTGGTTTCAGTGCATTAACTGGGAAATTCATCATGTGCAAGTTAGAAGCTGATCAAAACTGGCATATTTTATTTGAAGGAAGGTTTGCATTGTCATTGCACTGTGTAAGTCTTAATTTTAATAAACTAATCAGGTATTCCTGAAGGGGCACCTTTAAGAAGTTGCATGAAATATTTTTTTCTTCCTCATACTTTTTGATTTTATCTGTTCATAACTCAACATTGCCTCAACCAATCAGCTTCAAATTTTCAAGACTTGTGTATGGTAATGAGGACAAAATTCTAGGAACTGGAATGTTCACATACCCAATGACCAAGGTTACTGAACCCATTCCCAGCATCCTAGAATGGCTCGAATAACTTAAAAAATCTTCAATGGCAGAGCTTCAAACATTCACAGAAGGTGCGGAAAATAAAATTCAAATGCGTAAATGTAGATTTGATGATTTTTGTGTAAAATAGTATGAAAATTTTATTCCCATTAAATCACGTTAAATAAATTTCAGTTTACCTCTTCTGAACAGCTACAATACGTGTTTTAATACCCCTCATGGAAGGTTCCTTGATGCTGGTGGGGGGCTCTTAATCTAGGGAATTGGATTGGTGCTCCAGTTCCCTGAATTAAACCTGAATACCTTCCACATTCCCCCACAGGCGCTTGATTATACATAATAATACATATTTAATAGCTAATGCATCTCAAGAGCCAGGATAGTACCTATTAAGTTTCATGTGCATGCAGGCAAATTTGTTGATGTAATGAAACGGTAAAAAAAAAATTGGAATCGCTGGAATCAGTGTCATAACTGGAGAATGACTAATCTGATCAGCTTCAAACTTTTGTCAGTGGTCTGGTTTCTTGAACCCTAGACTCACACTGCCATTGGGTAGCATAAGTGCCAATATTATTGAATAATTAGTGATATTTATTGAATAAATAGTGACATTTATTTTCTTTCTTTTTGGGTCACCCTGCCTCAGTGGGAGATGGCCGACTTGTTGAAAAAAAAAAAATTATGTTTCTGCTGACTGACTTCAAAATATTATTGACAATGCATTTTGTAATAAGGATATCTCACAAGTTTAGTCCAAATAGATGCAAATTTGAAATTTTAATGAAATTGTTAAAAACGTTGGAATTGTTGGAAGCAGATCAGTTACTTGAGAATTCCCTTTCTGATCAGCTTCAAACCTTTACCATTGGTGGGCTTTATTAACCCTTAAACTGTCCAAATGTAGATCTACATTCGATTTTACACGCTTTCTTATGTAAAAAAAAAAGGTAGATCTACGTTTGGACAGTTTAAGGGTTAAAATACAGCTTGTACGTTGAGCTGTGTGAATTTCTATTTGCCAAGAATTAGTAAATGCCTTTTCTGATCATCTTCAAATTCTAAATGCTGGTGTATCTTAACCCTTTCAGGGTCCAAGGCCCAAATCTGGAGTCACGCACCAGTGTCCAAGAATTTTCAAAAAAAAAATTTGTTATTTTTTCTTATGAAATCGTAGAGAATCTTTTTGTGAAGGTAATAAAACAAAAAGTATGAAATTTGGTGGAAAATTGACGAAATTATGCTCTCGCGAATTTTGATGTGTCAGCAATATTTACGAATTGGCGATTTTGCCGACTTTGACTCCCATTTTAGGCCAATTACATTATTCCAATCAACCAAATTCTTAGCTATTTCACTAGTATTACTTCTATTCTATCGATTGAGCACAAGAAATCGCCAAGTCAACTGTTTCAACTACAAAATAAAGTGATTGGAAATTGTTAATTTGGCCAATTTAACACAAAGTTCAAAATATTCCAATTTCAAAATAGGGTCCAGAATGAACAATGTAGGTATTCCTGGAACTAAACTAACATTTCCTCTGTTCATTAGTTATGTTTTGAGGCTTTACAAATAAATTCCATTTTGATTTTTTATTCACATAATGAATTTTTATTCACACCAAAAAATAGAAGATTTACTGTTATGCAATACTGTAATAATTGTATAAATATCATCACCATATTTGTGAATGTATATTAGACCACCAGCTGACGTGTATTAGATGTGTGAGGTCGTTGTTTACTCTTGAATATCGGCAAAAATTTAACATTTCCGCTACTTTGAGCTCAGTTTCAAGCCATTTCCAATGCTAAAACCAATCAAAATCATCTCTATTTCTGTAATATGTCTTCCATTCTATCAAATGAGACCAAGAAATCGCAAATACAACTATAAAAAACATACGAAAAAACACTGCAAAGTTGCTGTTTTAATCGAAAAATCATGATTTCATTTTTTTTCTCTCATTATACACAGTGTGCTGCAGGATCTGTTTTATGTGGTGCACACATACCACATAGATGTATTCTCTCATATCTAGGCCCAAATGTACCACTCACAGTTTATCAGAGTGAGCTGAGCTCATGGCGTAGATCTACGGTTTGGACCCTGAACGTAAAGCCGTAGATCTACGGGACGGACCCTGAAAGGGTTAACAAAAAGTATTTTTGTATTAATTTTGAGTTATGTGGGTGCCAATTTGTTTTCCACTTTTATCAAATTGGGTTTAAAAAAAATTCTTACAAGACTGCAAAGAATTTTAAATAGAACATAAATGTGAAAAGCAAACTGGAAAAAAAATACACGGATCTGTGGCATTTTTAAGTTATTCTTATTGTTCAGAACATTTGCAGCAATGTCTTGGTACTGATACTTTTGTTCAATAAATGTGAAAGAGGGGAAGGTACCAAGGGTTTGGCAGTGTGTGTGCATAATTCCTTTACATAAGGAAAAGGGGACAAAAGAGATTGTAAAAATTATAGGGAAATAAGTTTACTGAGTATACCAGGTAAAGTGTATGGTAGGGTTATTACTGAAAGAATTATAGGTAAGACAGAGAACAGGATTGCGGATGAACAAGGAGGCTTTAGAATGGATAGGGGATGTGATGATCAAGTGTTTACATTGAAGCACATAAGTGAACAATATTTAGATAAAGGTAGAGAAGTTTTCATTGCATTTATGGATTTAGAAAAGGCATATGATAGCGTGGATAGGGGAGCAATGTGGCAGATGTTGCAAGTGTATAGAATAGATAGTAAGTTACTCAGTGCTGTAAAGAGTTTTTATGAGGATAATGAGGCTCAGGTTAGGGTGTGTAGGAGAGAAGGGGATTACTTTCCAGTAAAAGTAGGCCTTAGACAAGGGTGTGTAATGTCACCATGGTTGTTTAACATATTTATAGATGGAGTTGTAAAAGAAGTAAATGCTAGGGTGTTGGGGAGAGGGATGGGATTAAATTATGGGGAATCAAATACGAAATAGGAGTTGTCATAGTTACTTTTTGCTGATGATAGTGTGCTTTTGGGAGATTCTAAAGAGAAGTTGCAAGGTTAGTGGACGAGTTTGGGAGGGTGTGTAAAGAAGAAAGCTGAAAGTGAACATAGATATAAGTAAGGTGATAAGGGTATCAAACGAGTTAGGTAAAGAAAAATTGGATATCACATTGGATGGTGTATGGAAGTGAATGTGTTCAGATATTTGGGAGTAGATTGTCAGAAGATGGGTTTATGAAGGACGAGGTTAACCATAGAATTGATGAAGGAAACAAGGCGAGTGGTGCACTGAGGTGTCTGTGGAGACAAAAAAAATGATAGCCATGGAGGCAAAGAAGGGAATGTATGAGAGCATACTGGTATCAACACACTTATATGGGT